TGAGCTATCTGAGCCTGCGGGTATATGAACAGGTAATCTTTGCACCATATTCAATGCATTCTCTTACCCTTTTATAGGTCGCACCGGAACACAACATCAATATCTCCCAGCACATAGCTCCTCCGAATCGCACTTCAGCTCGTTCGCTCGCCTTATTTATCCACGCGCCGATATCCGAATTTGTCTACCTTTTGACGGGAGTCGGTGTTTGAGCCCTAGGTAATGAGACGTACAGTCTGACGGATGGAGACTTTGAAGAAGAAAACCGATGGGACGTCACAGTCAAAGTCCGGGGCCAGCAAGGCGTCAGCCAAGCGTAGGAAGGTTGCAAATGGACCACCGAAACCGCGGAAAAAGCCCGCGCCCCGAGCTAAAAAGTAGTATATGCTGCATGTATGCTCCGTATGATCATTAGGGGCCCAGAATTAATTCGTAGAGCTCTATTCTGTTGCCCAAGGTGAAATCAATTGTTGGCCGCCACTCTAGAGCAAAAATGGGACATGGGAGAAAAAAAATGGCATTTTTAGGCTATGTCCGACCAAAATAGAGTAAAACAGCCGGCTGAAAAATTTATAGAGTAAAACTGGGTCAAAATCGGGCTAAAAGCGGTCGGAGTTCCAGGGGAGTGTCCGCGGGCCTCCTCCGGTGGCACTGCAAAGCTATGCAGGATGTCTCGGCTTTTTCGGCCGCCCACCTCTTGGCCGATCTGAAACTGAATCACTACATACGTCTCCCTTCTTTTCTCCCACTCAGGCGGCTCTTGCTTCGCCTGGGGCCTGAGTTGGCCTGAGCTCGGAACAAACTTGAATATTCGCGATCTGGTAAGAATATAATTTTGGGTGATTGGATCAACCCAAAGCCGTTATCATTCGCTATGCCTGTCGGTGTCGCAGAGGCTGCAGGGCTGCAGTCCACAGCTTTTTCCTTCCGCTTCCATCTTCACGCCCAGCAATGGGCTCCACTCCCCAAGCTACAGGCGTCCTAGTTCCTTACATCAACACGCGACCTCCAAGCCCAGCCGGAGAAATCGATTTAAGAAACCCAAACAAATGGGCTGCCTTCCTCAACCCAATCCCCGGTCGAACATTGTACGAGGTGTACTCAACCGCTGGACAGGCTCTTGAGACCCGCACAAACCGCATGGCTCACCGTCTTGGCTTGGGTCCCGACGTTGCCGCCCAGAAGATTGCGGAGTTTTTCGGTACAGGAGAGGAACGGCAACAACGGCTCACTGCTCTGCGGGATGATCATGAAGTTTTGGTGAAACTGGAAAAATATTGTTCAAGACTGATGGGATATACACTACCGTGCGTGTAGTACATCGCTTCTTTTCTCATAAATCAATCAACAAGTCTTTTACTACACAGTACCGAGTCGCCGAGAACGCAGCGTCAGGCCTTTGAGAGAATTGTCACTCTCACCACACTGTTACCGGGCTTGCGACTTCTTTTCCTTCGTTCAAATTGCATGCAGAGCATTCCAATTTCAAAGAATGACATTTCTGGACTCTGGGATCATCCTGACGGTTTCCTGGATTCAGAATGGTTGTTTTGGAGGAGCTTGGCGGCGACCTGTCTGTCAGACACGAACATTTCGGCGATCTTGGAGCAAGCTCCTGTTTCTCAGTTGGCAAATTGTCTGCACGATAACGGGGGCCTCAGTGTGATTGAGCGCCTATTGATTGCACACGGTTGCGAGTGAGTGGCCTTGTCGAATCGAACGAGTAGTTCTCATGCGAGAGGGACATCAAGGACAGGAGCCGACTCTCCATTCTATGATGCACTTTGTATCCGATATCTCGCTGGGATTCTCCAGTTGCCCGGGTTCTGGTTGAAAATTGAAAGCGTGCATAGTGGTGTTGCGAGGAAACTGTGCTTGAAGATGGTCCGGGTCCTCGAAGATATTGTGCTTGACACCCTCCCCTCAGAACCATCGCCCACGCCAGAGTTGCCTTTCGACTATGAAGGTCTTGATCTGCTGGCCGAAACAATGTTGGTCGGAATATCAAGTTGGTTCAGGGTAATCGATGCCACCGACTGGGCTCTGCAATCCTGGTACCCAGTTTTTCGCCAGGCCGTTCATCTATTGCGCAGGTATGTACACACTATTCTCTTCGACATTTCCCCAGCACATAACATTACTCTTAGGCCACTGTCCGCAGCCCTTTTGCCAAATTCTTTTTCTCGCGCCACCAGCGCTTCCCTGGAGAAGGACATCCCAACCACTTATTTCATGGCTGAGTTTGACGTTTTGGTTGAGACTTCAACTAAACTTGCCGCCACGCCTGTGGCTGGTTTGTACTACTCGGAAGACATTGACCAGTCTGGGGAGAAGCCCAGGCCCCCTGCCTCAGCCTCGCCTGAGAAAATGGTTGTCTCGTCCGGCCTTCGAGGGAGGATGATCAATCGGGGCGTCTGGTTTCGGAAGACCCTGCCCTGGCGGCATTTTGACGTTCTCGTCCTTGGAGGTATGTCTTCTCTTCCTGTACCACCTCGAAGACTCAGTTTTTGCAGATCGCGTCGAGAAAATTAGTCTCATTCGTACATTCGACCTCTTTCTCATGGCATCGGATTGACCCCTCTTCCAGACCGCTTTATCTCCATCGAATCACATGACCCCACGTATGTTTCAAATGATGTCAAGTCCATTGCAATACTGACCCCACCACAGAATAGAGGGTGCGTGGCGGCGCAGATTGAGATTTTGTGCCCGTCATTTGACTGTCCCGTGTAGATAATTACCGTCGGGAAATGATGGTCGACGGTGCGGTAACTTCGGTGCGTCCTGCTGCCTCCATATTATTTTGCCAGTCAACATGTATTTCCTATAATGATTTGTCGCAGATCTATCTCATGCTCGGTTCGGAAATAGAAGCGTATAAGTTCATGGACGAGGCCTACATCAAGGTAACATGCTTACTCTGCGCCACGTATCACAGAACCTGATGCGTAAACTGGGATGTAGTCCGCCCGTGGATTTGTTCTTGTTTTCAGGTAAGTCGCCATCTGCGTCCCCTTTTCCCCCTCTGATACCTACCGGACAGCTTGACCGACCAAGCCAGTTTAGAGGAATTCGTCAGTCTGCGAAAACGAATATACGGGCTCAAAGGCTCGGAATCAGTTCGTAGCGTGCTTTCCCCTCGTATAACTGGGAACTAAGCAAGGTCCAGGTGCCCATCGTCGTGGCCGGGATCAAGAGTAGCCTCGTGAATGAACGAGAAGTGCCGGCGGCGGCACTCGAGTCCCTTGCCAGCAAGTGGAACATCCCTTTCTACGAAACCTCGGCAGAACTCGACTGGCATGTGAACGAGGTTTTTGAGGACCTAGTGCGACAAATGCGTCAGCGATACCCAGGCAGAAAGCAGAAGACGAAAGCTCGAGGCCCTTGCATTATCATGTGAATCATCCCCGCTAACGCCTAACGGTCCTCACCTTCGCCTTCTTACCGAGAGTTTGCGGAGAGGACAATTGCCATGTCCAATATCAACATTAACCAAAAAAAAATTCCATAAATGTTTGTATAGATCCGTTGCACTGACGTTCCAACACGAATCTGCGGCTTACATGGTTCGTGACTTATTGAGTGAATAAGACTCGTGGCGCCGGACGCGACCGTTCTCCGTTTAAAAAAATACTATTCCTCACCCATTGGGTGGTCTGAGCGGAGAATCGGCGGAATTTTCATTGTATTTATTGACGTTTACATGGATCCACGGTATTCAAATGAACACGAATCTGGGGCTTACAAACCTCCTGAAAAAATATTGTACCAAGCATGTGTAAATAAGGCCCGTGGCGCTGGATGCGTCCGCTCTTCATTCAAATATTTCGTCGATATCCTGCGGATTCCCCGTTCAAATCGGGGTCGGGTCATGGGTGATTTGGTCTTGATTTTTGTGCTATGTAGCCGCCGCATTATCGGCCATGTTATTCACTCGAGGTCGGGGTGAAACAGGGATCCCCGCCGCCGTTTTTTTTTTGATGGGCCGTTCCCATTTTCCTGGGCAACCGCAGAAGGGGGAATTCTGGAATTACGACGCAGCATTTTGGTCACTGGTGAGTCCAGAGAAATTTAAATCAGCCCAAGTACTCGCTATGGCCAAAAGTAACCGGAAATTTGGTTTTGAGGGCTTCTGTTCCAAACTTTTTGCATTCTTGTGACTGAATTCTCAATCTATGGTCAATTTGGCATAGATTGACGCATTTGGACCTGAGGTGGAGCCTCTCACATCTAATATATTATGAAATTTCTAAATTGATCGAAAATTGATCATGTTTCCCTCCTTCTGATTGTCTGGACGGTATTTCTGGGTAGATCAAGAGCTGATAATTAACCGTGGACCTATAGAAATATGCACCCAAAATTTAGGGGGTTTATGTGCTTTCTAAATGGTTCCATGAATAAATAAAAAGAGGGAAACAATCACCACCTTAATTGAAAATTGATTTAGATCTCCATTTTCACAACAACACCAGGGCAGTAGCTGATATTTTTTGGTTGCACATGTGAGGCGTGTTCCCCCTCAAATTGCAGAGAAAGAATCTGCCAAATATAAACATATTCTGCCGAAAAACACCAACAGTATTCCAGTTACTTTTGGTCATACAATTTCGAAATTTGATAATATATTGGGTCTGAAAGATTGCACCTCAGGTCCAAGTGTACTAATCAATGCCAAATTAACCATAGATTGAGAATTTGGTCACAGGAATGCAAAAAGTTTTGATTAGAAGCTTCAAAACCAAATTTCCGTTTACTTTTGGCCATAGCGAGTATGTGTTTCGAGGCAAATTTAGCACGGGCCGGGAAACGACCTCCTGCGGCAAAGGCAAGATACAATGAGTGGGATCCCCGAGGTTGAAGGGGTTTGACCCCATGTTCGAATCACTCAGTATTGGGTATTTCAGGACGAGAATAAATTTCAGAGTTCTCTCTCCTCTTTCATGTGTTAGAAGTTTTGGTGCACTAGCCAACTGTGCTAGGCTAGCACAGTTGGTTAGTGCAGCCTAGCGCAGTTGGTTAGTGCACCAAAACTTCTAACATAAATGAAACAGACCCTCGTCTTACATAATACAGAAGTTCGAGGGTTCGAACCCCTCAGGTGTCGCCACAATACCAATTGACTAGTGCTCAGCAAACTGGTGATCCTCATCGCTGGGTAGATTTAACATGGCCCTGGGGGGTCTGTTTCATTTATGTTAGAAGTTTTGGTGCGCTAACCAACTGTGCTAGCCTAGCACAGTTGGTTAATGTCGGAAATTTAAAAATAGTCTTATAAGCAAATCACGTTATAAGACTCTCGTAAGACGCTTACAAGACCAAATGAAATCCCGCAAGGGCTTACGCTCAGCGTCCTCGTCTTGCAACGCTCTATGATCTCAATGGAAGAATCACAATTCTACCCTCTCCCTTCGCTCACTGCTGTCCCATGGGTTCATGAAATGTCCAAATATCACTGTTTGCACCCCATGGCAAATTGCATCGAAACAGCTACTGAATGCAAGCATCGGAAGACTCTTTTGCATTCTGCAAGGACTGCCAGGGATGAGGGAGTGAAAAAGGCATTCAGATGCAGCAAAACCGTGTGTTCTTATATGTCTACGAATCTGTACCTTGGCCTCATCTTCAATTTCCCTGATTTCCATTCCTATACCGCGAACTTGTGCACCTCCCTAAGGTTTACCAGGGGTAAGGGTATACCTCTGGAGGTACAGTGAGGGGTATAGGAAAGGTAGAGGTAAGGGTTGCCACATTCATACCTTTGGAGAACCCTTTCCCAACCTCCGAAGGTTCAAAGGTACACAGAGGTCAAGTATCTTTTGTGTAGGTTGGCACCCCATCCCATATGACCACCATCAAGATCTTTTCCAAGCTTCCTTGGTGCAATTGAGCAGCACCTGTCTTGTTGAAATGCCTCTTTTCGCAGTTTTCACTTGACCAAAGGTCCTATATTTATCCCTATTTTGCAAAATCATGCCCAGAAGGTGCCTCAGGACCTCCTCATAATGTGCCCCAAGCAGCTCTGTGATCATCCTTTGTGCTCCAGTTTGCTCTATAATCAAAAGATTGATCTTAAAGCTAACTGGTGCACATTATAGGTGATAAACCTTTGCAAAACCTTGTGGAGGGTTGCAAGGAGAGGTACAAAGGTATACCCCTGCAATACCTCTGGCAAGGTAAGGTATAACCTCTCACAAGGGTAAGGGTTTGAGAGGTAGAGGTAGAGGTTCACTGATTCATACCTCTACCTCTACCCCTGGTGAACCCTACACCTCCCTGAGTTCAAAAGGGGAGGCCTCGCACCCTGTACCTCGCTCAGCTTCGGCGGTGCCGGCCGCCACACACTGCATGCTTCCCATCTATTCAGCTTTTGCCGTAGCAGGGTACTATTGGGGAATAATCGCCTGTGGATGGTGCGCCGACCCTGTGGATGTCCGTCTCGGACGCCGACCTACGCAACGACCCTTTTTCCGACCATCAGACTCTTTATTGGTCAGAATTTTGGCTCAACACATATTGAAAAATGGTGTGTTGTGGACATACTACTGATATTCCTACTTATCCTAACTACTATTTTTCCTCATCAGTTATTCCTGTGCTCCTACATACGCCATCCAGCAGTGCATGTCCCACGCCTCCAAATCCGTCTCATGATACCGCACCTCTTAGTTGTATACAGCCATATACAGGGCGTGCGCCTGGTTATCTTTTCACAACTGGTTGCTCGACCCATCGCACACAGCGGTGCGTTGCTGTGCCTCTCTTCACCTTGACCTCCCCCCCACAATTTCTGTTGGGACAGCTGCACGCAGCGCACATGGATAACTGCAGTTAGCTGGATGCCATCGGAACGTGTCCCCCCTCTACGCGCCACGGAATCTCCGCTCATTCATCTCTTTCTGTCCATTCCGGCACTACCCTCGTCCATGTCGACGACCTTGAAAAGACATCTTACCAGCCCACTGCGAGAGATGGTGGAGGGATGTACATTCCGAAGCCATTCAGTCCCACAGTGCGCAGACAGCGGAGTTCCGGGCGCAAAACAGCGCAAGCAACGACAAGATTCTGTCAGATATGCAGCAAATTAGAAGGGACAGGATGGGCAGTGCTTTCGTCCATGGATCGCGGGTGGGCAGATGGGTAGAGCTGGTGGAACCGGAAGTATTGCACAATGTGATTTACCTCAATCAGTTATATGTGTCGCAACCGTAGCTTTAATTTAACCCTCAATTTCAGCTCATTCATCCCGAGCCAAGGTCCATTGCATTCCCTGAATTTCCTTCTGGCTTCTGGCTATTCCTCTCGGGTTAATCTTCAAGTACTGCTCAATTTTATGCTAAGACAAACCGTGTTTTGTCTTGGAGGTAAGCAATCCTGTATTTTCGAAATCTCTCTCAGACTGCGTCATTAGAGCCGTATGTATTTGACGCAACATTGTTCCTGCGCATCCAATGTAGGTGTTTGTTTTATTCTGAGCGCAGGATCCTGATGCCAATTGCCAATTATCTTCAGCTTTATTCGAGCACATGAGCTAACAGAGTTCTGTGTGCGCGCGACTTGTTTCATGCGGTGCAGCGTCCCACAGCATCCATTTGCGAGAATAGAACAGTGCCCACGTCGAGTGTGGGCGCAAATGTACGTGTACCGTCTTTCCGGACACTGCGTGGTGTACGCAGCTACTGCAATGCGGTGAGTGGGCAAGACACCAGGGAGAGAAGCGAGGAGCGCACCTGTGAGCCCATCACCAAGTGCTGTCGCAAGGTCAATATGATGAGAGTCGCTCAAGGGAGATCCGTAATCATTCCTCGAAGTTTGGGTAACTATTATTTCCTTGCTTTTCTTTTGTATATTCTCTTTTTCCTTCTGTCATTTCCTAGGAACGATCGCGAAGCAGAGCTGAGGCTTAGCTTCACAGCAAAAAACCTTGTCGGACTTTCTGTTCCGGTTATGTGTGGTTTGTTGTTTTTACACACATATTGATTGTCAGACTACATTTTTTGTTTACCTGTAATGCACATGTATTTATTCTCCAACATTCCTGCCATTCCATGTGCCCTGGTACCACCCTCTCTCATTCCCTGTTGTTGTTCTTGATTTCCGGTGCGAAGTCCATGTCAAATATTTCTGTTGCTGATTTTTACATTCGCAGTCGAGTTCCGCCCTTTGGTGGGCAGTTGCCTATCATAGATACCATTCACACACCCTAGATGCCATGCCCAATTTTTACATCACAAGCCTCTGGCGCAGTTACTTATATCTGCTGTGTCAAGAAAAAAGTGCCTACAAACACTGAGTGTCTCCAAGTAGATGAGACATGAGATGCGCAAAACAGTGGGTTGGCAGTGCTGAAGAAGAGCAACGGTGGGACCAGTTTCGTGAGGTACAAACACTTTTCCAGTGCCTGCGACACCAAGAACGCTCTCAGTTTAGCAGACACAAAGCATCATAATTGATTAAGCAAAGGAAACCAAGGGGCCGCAGGCTCCATATAAAGACTGGACTTCCCTATATAATATGTCCAGTTTAGTCTAGTAGTCTTTTGCCATTCCTTTAAGTAATTTCTTTCGTCATCGAAAGGTCGCAGGTTCGATCCTTTAGTACAGTCAATTTAGTAAGATCAAAAAAAAGCCAGTATAACAGTAAGATAAATGTAATGTAGGAGCAGCAGCAGCGGAATAATTTTTTCATCATAAAACCCTTGACCTCATAAGGCCTTGCAAGGCCAGGATCTTATGAGAAACCCGCAATATTATAAGAGTTCGTGTCTACCATAAGATCACTATAAGATTGGATCATATTATAGCCTTACAAGGCCTTGTGTGGGCTTATAGCACAAATTAGAAATTTCCGACATAGTGCACCAAAACTTCTAACATCATGTTCTCTCTTTCCTTTGTGGGATTTGCCTTGCTCTTGTGGCCACCCAAAACGCTGCTATCTGGCCTGAATCCCGATTCCGAAGTCTTGATAGGAGTCTCTTGATCTATGCTGACAGCGAGTCTTACTGGTGATACTTAAGTAGGCTCGTGACCAGCCTGCCTACGAAGAGCAATAAGGGCGGCGAGCGCGTTGCCGTAGGCAGCAAAATGCTCGCCATATATGTTGCTCATCCCAGGCAGACTGGTGACAAGTCTAGATGAGTACGACCTAGCCACGGGTTCAAAACACGATCACGTGCATCGGCGTTCAACTCGATCAAGTGGGGTTATCACACCACATACACACTAAACACAGAGGAAACTCAAATGCTGTGTGATACATTGTCCCCCAGACTGCATGGCAAGGCCAGCTAGATGGGAAAGCTTACATTCCTCCAAAAGACTCAAGGTAAAAATTCAACCCGATAACTATTACTTACAAACACAGTGTAGACAAGATTGAGAGAGAGCATTAAGAAACCAAGGTTGAGAACAACGCAAGAAGCAAGTCAAGGCATAATGTGATGGAGTTAAGATGGCTAGAAAAGACAGTTGAACACCAACGGGAAAAACACCTCGAGGCACAGACAGATCCAAACTCAATAAATCCCCTTTCTGTTGTGAACGATTGCTTGCGACCATTTCGGCTGTAAGTTCTTCCAACCCCAACTCAAACCTCATATTGAGGTTGACACTGAACTCGAGCCCGCCCTGACATACGCTAAGCTGAAATGAGCAGACAATCGAAGATGCCCATACCCGAATTCTGTCCCGCATTCATGGTTTCCTGGCTCTCGTCTATGTCTTCTGCGAGTCTGCGGTGGCGGCAAGCTTCAATGAGGACCTAATTTCATCTAGCGGTGAGCGAGGAAGAGCGGGTGCGAGACTTGTTACAACGTACGAGCAACGACGTATGCACCTCTCGTAGCTCGCGGCGGAGTGTCGGGAGGCTACGTGGGACGGCCATCATGGTTTTTAGATAATCTTTCCAGCTCGGCATGCCGCGCGCTTTCAACAAGCGGGTATGGAGTCTGGACGCCGTCAGCTTAGTTCTGGCGGGCAATTAGTTTTGAACGTGGAAAATCCGAGAATGGCCCTACCTGAGGAATCGAGTCTCTATTTCGGCCAAGGCCAGATAATCCCGCCTGCAATCCGCCTTCGCGTGATCCAACAATTCACCTACAATAGT